TGCATTTCTATAGCCCCTTTCAGCATTTTTATAATTGTGGACAGCTAACATATCATAATTATTCTCACTGAAATAAATATATAATTTGTTCCATTGGTGGTTTATTTTTTTAAATATAAGTTTGACTGACTCCTTTATGATGCTAGTTGGTCTACAAATTAAAAACAGTTTAGAACAAAATGAAACAGCAAAGAGCAATGAATGTCCAGAAAAATGAAACAGTCCCACTTCTTTAGCATAAACCTTTCCTATAAGGGGCTCCTGACTTACCCAGGCCAAGGCCTGGGGCAAGGGCCAGGTTTTAAGAGCTTTTTAAAAAGAGGTTGAGAAGGACTGATGGATCTTTTGATTCCATGTTTGGAATCTCAATACTCAAGATGATTTTAAGAGATGCCAAACTAAATGACACTGTTAACCATTGCATATTGCCGTGGAAGCTGTATAATCTGACCTTGTGCAAAATATAAGTAATACAAGTAACTGTAAACTGCTACTGTGTTGGATTTGGAAGTATGTGCAACCAAATGCATATTCAGCAGAATACTAATATCACCCCTGTTTTACATTTATAGAAATTATCAGCTAATCTGTTCAAAACAAGACATTTCATTAGTGCTGATGATCTAATAATAGCACCATAGGAAAGGGAATCTTTCTGAATGAGAAAGATATTAGGCAGGAGAAAACAGAAAAACTGATCAACTATTGTTACAAGTTAGACCAAATGTGAATTTGATTCACGTCAGCTTCCTTCCTTTATATAATAAAGATGTGAGCCAGAAACTAAACATTAAGGTTGAAAAACAATAAATATACAATACACTACAGAGTAACCCTGGAACACCAATTTTCATTTAAAACAGAGAGAAATTGACAAAGAAAACCAGGGCCCAGAATGCCATTTGTAAAAGCCACAAATTCCTATTGGTAGGGTTCAACCAACATTCACCTGTTCTATCTTAGTTCTCTGTTATTCCACATCGGAGCACATACACTTGATGTGGGAAAAAATAGGGGGGGAAATCCTTTACTGAATGATAGGTACCTTTTAAAACAAGTAGATTGTATATTATTGTAGGGAATCCCTCACCAAATATCTAGAGAACTGTAATTCATCAAAGTGAGAGAAAACGATGTTTCTTTTAGGAACAAAACATTAAATATGAGATCTTCTCATCCTCATGGTAGGCACAAATAAGAAACTCTGGAGACCGTGATAGAGGAATTGATATCAAAGAACAAAGGAAGAATGGGTAATTTAAAAGGTTCTAAATCATCTTTGTACTAATGCAGTTAAATGAGGAAAATATCCTTGGCCAGAAATCAGTGACTGTGAGCTTTTCCTTGTTAGGGGCAGATTGTTATATGCCCTCACTATACAAGCTCATTATGACCAACTCAGAACACTGCAGTGTGCACTATGGCAGAAAGAAATGCATGGTGAATAGATAAGCAAAAAGCATTTAGACTTATATACCGCTTCACAGGGCTTTACAGCCCTCTGTAGCAGTTTAGAGAGTCAGCATATCGCCCTCAACAGTCTGAATCCTCATTTTACTGACTTCGGAAGGATGGAAGGCTGACTCAACCTTGAGCCAGTGAGAATCAAACTGCTGACAGTTGGGAGAATTAGCCTGCATTGTGCCACCATGGCTTGTTGAGAAGAAAATGAATTTACTGTGAGTTCTTGGTGCTCTGTTAGCTTGGCTGTTTGCTTTCATTCTCCAACTACATAACATCATCGAGTCTACTGGATGTACACTAAATGATATTGACTAGTTGGTTTAATTAAACAACTACAAGCAAATAACCAAGCTCACTAGGACTCCACAATTCAAACAATTATATTCTATAGGAGATGATATCATCTCACATAAGGGTGTTTTGCTTGCTTGAGTTGGCACCTGCATCCACCTTTAACTATCTGAGCATCCTCTTCAGGGCCAGGAACACCAGGCAGCTGCAAGCTGTACTGCATTGCCAACAATATATCCGCCTGAGACTGAGAGAAACAAGTAGTAGCAAGTATACAGTTTTCCAGTGTGGAATTTCAGTTTTTTTCCTTCCACTTAACTTTTTTGACATCTATTTCTAACTTCATTTTTCCTTCCTTTATGCTGGAGAATTTGACTTTGGTCACTTTTCTGTGTTTCTCATTTTATTTTTATTGCAATTGTCTTTCAACCTTGCCATTTGGAGAACACTGTTTTGGGGACAACTGTTGCAATAGCAGTAAGGTTTTTCATATATAAGTATATCTTTGAAAACAAAGGGCAGCATATAATTCATAAATCTATTTGATAGTCCTTTTAAGAATACATATTTGTCATTTCATTGTGCCTTTTAGAATAAATAGTTATTAAAATCCTAAGTCGAATGGAAAATATATTTATCTTATGATATAATACAGGGGTCCCCAACCCCCAGTTGGGGGGCTGTGGCATGCC